ATTAAATTCGGTGATGGCGAGGTTCGTGGTGGTGGTGGTGGTTCTTGGTGAGTGGGGGTGGTGAGGTTTTGGGTTCATGGTGTTCTTATTGGTCGGTAAGGAGGGGAGATGAGGTAGATGCTAATTGAGGAAGATGGTGTTAATATTGGAGGTTAGCCAAGGAAGGGGAGGAGAGAGAAAGGAATTGGTGTTGGTGGTGGTTAAAGGGAGTATGTGGTGGCTAAGGAGGTGGTCATGGAGAATGAGAGAGGAGAGAAAAAGAAGTGGGGATTTTTTTTTTTAAATATAATTGTAAATAAAAAATAAACCAATAAGAAAATGACACGTAGGCAAGGCAACTTGTTATACCGGTTTGGTCACCTCATGGGTTGATATGGGAAGATGGGGGTGAAAGGTTGGATTATTCTGGAATAATCCAAGGTTGGTTTATTTTAGGAGAATAGGGCAAAGGTTGGATTATTTAAAGTAATTTTTCCTTTTTTGTGTACTAGGAAATTTTCTAAAATTTATTTGTATATATCAATGGTAAATGTGTAAATAATTGTAATTTTTTTTTCCCTTTTCATTTTGACTTTTGTAAGTTGAAATTTACCATGTGCAATTTTTTTTCTTGTGTGTCAAATGAATAGAGAAAATCTTGCAATTGTATATATCATCAATGACAAATTTGTAAATAATTTTTAAGGTCCCCTTCTCTCTCTCTCAACTTTTGACTTTTTTATGTACAACATTTGGTTTCAACGCGTACTACATTGGCTCTTAAATGTTCCAACATTTGTCTGCCTAGAAAATTATGTTCAATGAATTCACTAAAATGCTTTTAAATATATAGCGAGATTACTAAAATACTGCATGATATGCAGTGGCTTGAATGTAATAGATATATACCTGGCCACCCTCAAATGGAATAGCCACCTGGCAACCTTAAATGGAAAAGCCAGGAGTACATGGATATTACGTTAAATTTCTCTAAATCCTTACATTCATGACAATACTAATGGCATTATATTGTTATTCAATGCACTTGAAGAGACCTGTTATATATTTTTTTTCCTGCTTATGCATTGGAGGAGTTGAACTGTTGAAGAAAACAAAGAACATAAAACACAAAGCATTTTATTTGTTTCTTTTTGTCATTTTGAAATATTCTATTCTCAATGCTTGATTTCCAAATGGTTAAGCTAACCGAACCACTTGCACTTTCTGGACACACTATTCATGTGTTTCATCCAAATGCTTTCAATTTTTTGAAAAAGATAAGGGGGTATTTGGTTCACATAGTGGTATGAGTTTGGAATCAGGAATGAGGTTAAGGTGGTATCGGGTTGGAACTTGATACTTAATACCATGTGTTTGCTTCTAGAATGGAATCTCTCACTATTTCCTCCTTTTATTTGATACCTAAGGGAATGGAATGGGCCAAACCCACCTCCCCCAAGGGTTTTTATTTAAAATTCATACTTTTGACAACTAAACATTTGGTATGGGTTTTTAGTCATTCTAAACCCATACCTCATACCTATATTCCGTGAACCAAACACCCCTAAATATTCTAAAGTATCCTTACCTTTCAAGTTATGATGATTCCATTTTCTCTAACATAAAGTATTGCGGATGAAAGTGGATGATAAAACATGCTTTTCCATGAAAGACTAGGGACCCTCCATTATATCTTTCAAATAAAAGGATGATGTAGGAAAGTGAGCTTATTTGTGTTCCTCTTTACATCATCATTAGGGCACACGACCATGCAATCTTTTATTTCTGCAACATGTTCCTTTTGTTTGTTTTGTTTTAGTGTGAGCAGTAAATGATAATTATAGTAAATATTTGGAAAAACACACTTTAATAATCCCAACTTTGTCCAATTTACTTTAATTAATCCCTACTTTATAATAGTATGTAATAATCCCAACTTTTACCTTGTTTTCTTTCTGCAGTCCCCTGAAGAAAGGGTAAGTATTTTTTTTAAAAAATGAAACTGCCACGTGTCGCACGTTTATTTGTTCAAAAAAAGAAAAATAAAATAAAAAATAAAAATTTTAATAGATTAAAAAAAAAAAAAATCAACCCCAAAGCCAATACACAGCCATGACTACCGTCGGTGGCCAAAACCTACCCAACTCAGCCAAAACACAGCCATGACCACCGTCGGTGGCCACGATTTTCCGGCCCCTAGTACCTCCTTTCTTTTCCCCTCCCTTCTCCCTACCCAACCTAACCCCGAAACATAACCCCCCTGATTCGAAATCGGTCCAACGAGGTTTGAAGGCGAAGGTCTAGTTTTCTCGGCTATTAGGTTGCAATTTTTGGGGGAATTATCTGGGGTTTAGGCTGTGGTTTCCCAGCGACGGCATAGGCGTGTTCAAGTTTCTGGTGGCGTCTGTATTTCTGCCGGTTTCAGACGTATTTGGGGGACTTTACAGGCGTATTTTCAGGCATTTATCTCAGTTTTTTGGTGCTGTTTCAGGTGTAGTTTTTAGGCGTCTTTAAGGGTTTCAGGTGGCTGTTGTTCGGTGGCTGTATTCTGGTGGTTTTTGGCGTTTTCTAGGTGAATATTCAGGCGGTTTTTGGGCTGTGGTTGGAGTGGGGGACCGATTTTCGGTGTTGGGGTAAGGGAGGAGGGGTCGGAAATTGGCGGGGCTGGAGGGGGTGATTGGTTAGGCTGGGAAGAAAGGTGGCCACCATAGGCGGCTGGTGGCAGCTGGTTTAATTTTTGTAATTTTTTTTTTCTGTTTCTTTTAATATTTATTTTTATTTAGTTTTAATCTTTTTGGATCAATCACGTGTAGACACGTGTTAGTTAGGCAACCTACAATAATAGGTTGTTGACTTTTGTTGACCAGTTTGGGATTGTTTGAAGAAAACGCACAACAAAGTTGGGATTAATACAGAATAATCGATAGTTGGGATTATTTAAAGTAAATTGGGCAAAGTTGGGATTATTAAAATGAATTTTTCCTAAATATTTTGGACTACGTACCAACCTGGCAAGATGTATGAGGATAACTCTGAGGTGTCTACCGTCCAAATCCTTTTGTTTGGACCAGTAAGAACTAGATTGGTGAAAGTTGTTAAGGCTATGAAACCTTTCATCCACTTTTTTCTCGTGATCATTTGTTGTATACTTCCTCATGTTTCATAAAATTGCAACACTTTGCCTAAAAAAATCACACATTTTAGTGGAAGTGTTGTAATATTTTTGAAACAGAAGAAGTATTAGAAAGTTCAAGTCGTCAAAGCCATTGAGACAAAGGGTAACTTACACTTTATATATATATATAGTTGAATCATAATATGCTCAATGTTTGACAATGGGTTCACGTGTGATATTCAATCAATCAATTAAACCTTAATCCCATAAGCGGGGTCGGCTACATGAAACAAATTTGATTATTCCGTGTAGTTATGCTGCTACATCCCTTACGATCCAATGCTTCTTCCTCATGCAAATCCATATACTTCATATCCTTCCTAACTCCTTCCAATCAATTCATTTTCGATCTATTTCTCCCTTTTTAACTCCTCCATGGTCCTACTCTTCCACTCTTTAAACCGGTGTACCCTCGGGTACCGTCTTACATGCCCAAACCAACGCAAACGATTTTCCCTTAATTTTTCTATAATGCTTGCCACACCTACTTTCTTGCGAATAACCTCAAATCTAATTCTATCTTTTAGATTGTTCCCATACATCCACCTTAACATGCGCATTTCCATAGCCTCCATCTTTTTAATGTGCTCCTTCTTAGAAGCCCATCGTTTTGTACCATAGAGAAACACTGGTTTTATGGCAGTCCTCTAAACTTTTCCCTTCAACTGTCACGTAACACTCCCGTGGCCGCTCTCCATTTAAGCTGACCCGACTTAATCATGTAAGGCCAAGGTCTTGGTCAATGTCACAATTTTTCTGGATGATCGACCTAAGATATTTAAAATCACTCATGGTCAAATCCTTACCATCCAAATTCACCACTTCGCTTTTCCTTGTGAGTACCAAAGCGACATACCAACTTAAACCCTCTAGATTCCAACCTTTGCCTCCATTGCTCTAACTTGGCATTAATCCCATCTTTAGTTTCATCCACCAAAACGATATCATCCACAACAACATTCATCATGGAACCTCATCTTCTAGTTACTTCATCTAGAAGGACTAGAACCGTTGCAAAAGGAAAAGGGCTTAATGCAGACCCTTGGTGCAATCCAATTGTAATAGGGAAATCTTTTGTCAACCCTCCACATGTCCTTTCATTCGTTGACACATCTCGATACATATCCTTGACATTGAAAATCAATTTTTAGCTCACCAGATTCTTTGACACAACCTCTCTTGGCATCTCATGATAAATTTGTTGTGTCAAAGAGTCTGGGTCCAGCTAACAATTGCAGCCATTTCGTTGTTAAGCTGAATTTAAATTTCTGTACCACATTCATTGGACCTATGAGCCTGCATGCTTTCTTCTAAAGTATCTGTTACTTGGATTTTTAACCAGCGTTGGACTCATTAAGAATATCTTATGTGAATATAGTGTGCTTTATTTTCTCAAAGATCAAACCCAAGTACTCATATCAATTTTGATTGGAGTATGTTGGAGTGTTGGACATGAGCGGGCACTTGGCGGGTAACATAGTCCTATACTACCAAAGCACCATATGTATATAATGTTCTTTAAAGGAAAGCTCTTGTAACATTTCGACATGCCTTAGTTTGTCATTGTATCTTCTCTTGTTTGTGCTACGAGCTGTTATCCTCCATCAATTAATCACCCAACATTACAGAACTGTAATTTATGACTTGATTGTATGGTGTGCCTATCTTGCTCTACTGTTTTCAATGTGGAAATTGTTTTGAATTGGATGTCTTGACTAATTGTATAAGATCTCATAATTCCCCCTTTTTTTTTCTTTTTTTTTTTTTTAATTTTTTTTTGTTATTTTTAATATTTTTGTTGCTGATTTTTGTATGAGCTGATTAGTTGACCTCCCTTTTTATGCAGGGTTCAAGTGACATTGATCAACTTGGCAAAATTTTTGCAGCCTTTGGGACACCAAAGCCTGCTCAGTGGCCTGATATGGTATACCTTCCCGATTATGTAGAATACCAATATGTGCCGGCACCTCCTTTACGTACATTGTTCCCAATGGCAAGTGATGATGCTTTGGACTTGTTGTCTAAGATGTTCGCTTACGATCCAAAAGCTCGAATTTCCGCGCAGCAGGCCTTGGAGCACAGGTATGTCTTGAGACTCTCGACAGTTTGTTTGTAATCTTTATTTCCAATTTGGTTTCAGGTTATATCTTCCATATATAATTGTGGTGGGGAATTGGTGTGCTACTGTGCTTTATTTGGTGCGTCCAACGATTATCGCATTTATCCTTTTATCTTTGATCTATTTGTGCTAACCGTACAGATACTTTACATCACCACCAGCTGCTACAAATCCAGCTTCTTTACCACGACCTTCACATAAAGGCGATAATAACGCAAAAGTTCCTGAGTCTAATCCAAATGAAGGACCTACTGTGTTGTCTCCACCTAGAAAAATGAGAAGAGTAATGCCCAATAGAAATGATGGGGGTGAAGAAAATGTTCACAACGCTGAAAAGTTAGATGATCATGTCAGTGGGAGTAGATTAACAACTGGCCCAAGCTCAAGCAGAACTGATACAATACCAATGTCAATAGATTTTTCTGTGTTTGGATCTAGACCTCCTCCTAGACCAACTATTAACAGGTAATTTTATTTTATGACATCTAGTAACTTACTATCATTGATGAATGCGAAAACTGACCCTAATCAATGCCAGTGACATCATCATTGTCTGCATGTCAGCTTCTCATCAATTCTTCTTCTTTTTTTTTTCAATTAAATAATATTTTAGTACGTAATTAAAAATTTTGATAATCACAGGTGCTTCTGGAAAACTGTGCAATATGAAGTATACACTATACATCCTCTATTTATTTTTATTTTTTTTAATTGCAACGTTTGAATTTTTGCACTATTCACACACACTCCTTTGATCGTCTGTTCTGATTTATATGTTAGGAAAAATAAGTTATGTGGGATCTTGTTAGATTCATCTCGAAATACACTTGCATATAATTAACTCTTTTAATTTTTACTACAACGAAACTTGATATATTTAAATGTGCATTGGGATCCGTTAAATCTTCAATGTTGTGAATTATAAAGGAAAAAAAAACGTGGAATCATTTTGGGACAGAGGGAGTAATTATTAGCTATGACTCATAATGGATGGAGAACTTGTGACAGAGCATTGATTTTTCCATTATATTGGTTTTCTATCATTTTTTTTTTTCTACTTGTGGAACTAAGGCATGTATTCAACATGATTATTAAGGAGGGCTATTTTTAATGGGGGAACCAATCCATTCTACTCTAGTTCGTTGAACTAAACAACCCCTAAATGGTAGTTGATGGAGTTTAGCTACCTCTCCAGTGTGGTGGTCAGGCATGTAGAGTCTTTTTATCCTATTTTTGAATGCCAGTGCCCTAGACATGTGAGTTTTGTGTGGCAGCTACCAGTAACATGTCCTTGCTGTTTTAGATGGCTCCCTGGTTTTGGCATAGACTACACTATTTGATGCAACAGGGCCATGCAGACTTGCCGTCATCCTTAACTCTTTTAACTGACACCCCAGGTATAATTCCAACTTAGACTTCTCCCTTGTAATTCGTTTAATCTAATCTCAAACACAAAGTTCTGATTCTTAAGCAGAGGTTTATAAAGAATCGACTCACCACAACTTCTAAAGCAACTGGGTTATTAGGTTGATTAGTTAAGTGTTCACAAGTCATAAATGCTAGCTAGCTTCTTAGAAGCTTATAGAGAGCTTAAGAGACAAACACGAGAGTTGATTGTCTGAACATTATCATAGTTCTGAATAATACATGATATTATCCACCTCAATAGGGTAGTGTTCTTCTTAAATAAGGAAACTAAGTCAATTGATCTGCTAGAATGGATTCAACTTGGGACCTCTGAACTCGAAGCGGACATAGCTTTATATAAAATGTGGAATGTAATATTGTAATCTTAAGATAAGTTTCCTACATAACAACTATGTTAGTCTTGGGATGCTGAGAGGGCTAGAGGAACTTAGGTTCCTTGTGCACTTTATTGACCGTTGGTAATATCTGGCTAGGTATGTATATATGAATTTTTATATTTGAAAGCCTGAAAGAAAACTCACCAAATTCTGAATATTAACATTTACTTATTTACCAATTAGCTTCAGCCCTAATCAAGCTCATTTCCTTAGGTGCTAAGCATGCTTGTATAAAACTTGCTATAGCCTTTAAACTGTATTTGGGAGAGGTAAGAAACTGTAATACCAAATCATTGATGAACGTGTTTATTGGTTCCATGCTGTTTCTCCCAATTATGTCTCCTTTTCTTGAAAAAACTTGAAGTTCTTCCTGAAATCAGATTTAAGGCACCTTCATTGAGAATTTCCATAATTGAAGTACGAATTCACATATTGGACAACAATTTGTCACGTACTATCTATACCTTTCTTTCGCTTGGAAATTTCATCATATTTAAGGCACCTTTCTTTCTTCAAGGTTCCTGTTACTACAATCTTTTTCTCTTCATTCTCAACATATTTTCTTTCTTTTTCTTACAAAAAAATATTTTTTATTTTTATATTGAAGCAAACGCATTTTCTTTAATGACATTGAAGGCATTCCTTTCTTCTTTTTGGGTCTTTCTGTTAGATTAAAAGTAAACTTAACATTTTTTTTCATGTTATCTGTCTCTAATTAATATTTAACCTGAAGCATAATCATTAATACCTTTTGAAGTGGTTCCTTGATGTGTTAGGAGGACTCTTCAGCTTTCATACTGGATTAATTCTTATTTTTGTGCCCTTTACTGTTGGATAGCTCTATTTTGTCTTTATAATCTATGTTACTCGGAATTTTCATTCACCTCAAATATACCCATGAAACTTGAGTAGTAGGACAATTGGACACTTCATTGTATACCAAAATCATGGAACTTTTTTTACAGCATTGGCGATTCAGATACCTGGACAATGTACAAATGTCAGGCATGGGTAGCCATATCTTTGTAAATTAGTTTAAAACAAACATAAACAAGGTTTTGTATTAGAACACCTTTATTTCATTTTTTTTTTTATAATTTTATAAAATTTTCATAGTAGACCAACTTTAAAATCTTCTTTTCTGCTATTTTCTTCAATGGGATTTCAAGTGCTACTACCAAACAACTTGAACATGCTTCTTGAGTAATGGTATAATTTGTTCTTTTCCATATGTAAAAGTGAGTTAATTCATCACCCAACAGGATAGAAAATAATTTATTTATTAGTATTTCTGTGATTGTATTTTACTTGGAGAAATTCTCAGTCAAAGTCAAACGTCTAAAATATAACACATCAAATATATCCGTCCGTTTCTCAATACATGCAACACGTTAACTTTTAATCATGTATTATAAAGTCAAGTTGTTGCATGTATTAGAAATGGAGGAAGTACTTAGTGACCGAGTCATTAATAAGCTATCTTACGCACCAAGCCTCAAAAGAATCCTGATATAGCCAGTGGAAATGATGTGCAAGTCTTCTAGTTATGAAAAATCCTGCCATATTGAATTAATGTCATTTATTTACAAGGGTCCAGTTGGCAGTTACTATACCCCTAGTCCATTGCCTTACCATTAAGTTTTGTTTTGCCGCAGTCATGATTTCCTATCTAATATCCTGAATTGGTCTATATTGATTGATCCATCACAAACAGCCTTTCTGTTTACTCATGATACTATCTGCTGGGATCTGTATTATCTTTCAGGTTTAGCTGGGTGGACTATTGTTACAGAGTGATAAGTCTCTTATTTGAAACATCAAAGTAATCAGCATTTTTTGCTGTGTTTTGGTCTTTTGGATGAAAAGATAGTAATTTCCAAGTTGGGTGTCTAGCTTGGTTACAGTTTATAGTTTGACCTGGAAGCTTTATGGGGCTTGGTCTTTATCAAATTTATTGGAATTTCTTTTCTTTTTTTTTTTTCTTGCTCGCTAGAAAATTATTTTTTAAACACACAAATATATGTTAGTTATTATAAAATTGAAAACAATTATGCCCACCCTTATGGTTGATATAGTATCTTCTGGAAGAAGCTTAATGTAGTGCATTAGTTTTATTTATATTAAAAGAATGCTCGACAAATTCGCCGCTTGAATGTGTTGGTGCCTGTTAGGACACAATAATGTAGAGGCTTAAAGCAGGGAAAAGAGAATAATGACCAAGAGTTATTATCTTATCGTCTTCCCCTCGCTTCTCTCCTGCAATTTGAACTTGGGTTTGACCTGGCTTTTATACTTATTCGGATATATTTGTCTTTTAAGAACAGGTTGATAATTCATCTGACATATTATTAAGGAACTGTATACAAAGTTCTTATTACCAATCTAATAATGTTGAAACTCATATCCAATCTTAAATTTAAATCTAATAAAAACCCCAAACAGAATTTTTTGTATGGCTAAACTTGTTTTTCATTGCTTGTGCTTCAGTTTTGACTATTACTGTCTCCTACTATAATGTTTTGGATGACTACTCAAAGGTTATGGTGTAGCATGGTATGGTAGAATTGTAGTATAATTGGCTTGTGTAGAAGCCTGTGCTATGAATGTGATCTAGAAACACGTATAATATTTTAGAATAAAATGTTAGAGTCTAAAATGGTTTTCTTCTGCTAAACTTTAATTTTTTTCTCTGGCAGTGCTGATAGGACACATCTAAAGCGCAAATTAGATCTTGAATTCCAGATGCCTGAATAAGCTGAATACTGATACCAAGTGTTTTTCTCTGTGTTTTCTCTGAATGCACAAATTAAACCAGGTATGGCTTGATTGACTATCAATTCCTCCATTGTTTTTATCCCTCTTAGTTTCTGTTTGTATTCAAGTATGTGAGTTTTTATGAGTTAACTTTTGGGCTATTGGCTGTTGCAGGCCGTTTATTGACGAAAAACCCTGCAGTGGGAGTCTGATGATGGTTGAATATCTGTAGAGCTGTTTGAGAGGATTGGTAGAAGGTAGGAGCAAATAAATCGAGCTTTATCATTTCCCTGCAACCCCTCGACAATCCTTGAAAATTTGATGGGGAACATTGGTTGAACAATTTTTTTATAGCTTCTAAATTTTGTTATGTAAGGTATTGTGCGCGATGTAGAACTGAGTGAATTATTGTAACAGCCTAACTGGTGATGAGTGATTAGGGATTTTTTTGTTTTTATTTATATTTATTTTTTGTTTGCAGAAGTTACCAGTTGTCTCTCCAGATGTTGAGAGTTATTCAATTGTTGTAAACAATCTTCGTGTATGAGTTATCATGATGACGGCAATGCTTTTTTTTGAAAATTTTGACCATTCCCAAATTTGCTTCTTCGTTGTTTCAGAGGCTTCCATTTCTAATTTCTTCCTGGAGATGGGAAGATAGTAATGGGCACAATTATGGGTGTTTCACTCCAATCTGGGCAATGCTTTATATCTGGAAGTTAAAACGGTCCACTTTACTTTTGCACTGGTGAATCCTTAAGCCAGTTACCCTGAGCTCCAGGATCTAAACTGTTCGGGCAATTTTAATGCTTTATGGTTAAAACAAATGTTCTTTCCATCTTATAATACTCGTAAGTCGCAACAATTTGACTTTTTTTGCATTATTTACCTAACTCTCTAAGAACATGTTTTTTATTAGGATAATTTTAAGTATGTTTTAAGACATCAACCTTATCAATCTTACAAATAGATAGTTATATATTTATGGTCAAAGTTGTATTTTAACGAGTGTTGTAGCTGAAGTGTTGCATGTAATATGGCACAAGGGATTAAATAACTAAAAATTGTTGCTCATGGTAGTTCTTTCGTATATCTTTATTTGTAACTTTCATGTAATAGCAGCAGATCTCCAATATTAATTGTAATGTAATTACAGCAAGAGCAAGACCTATTATCCAGTATAAATTTCATCATCAGCAGTACTCTAGGATTATATGTTGTTCAAAATTCTTCGCCTCATTCAAGCGGAACAAATTCTTTGTCAAAGGTATAGAGAAACTAGATCAATAGTGTTTGAAAGCCTTATTGATTGGAAAATACTTCACATGTTTGCCTCTTGAACTCTGGATTTCAAGCTGATGAATCACGACACTGATTCATCAGGGATGACTGCTTCATACACTCTTTCTCTTGCCCTCTTTGCCTAACACATGACCAGAAGCTTAGTTTAGTTATTATAGAAAAAGAGATGGACAATATACTCATAAAATAAATGTGTGTGGAGATTTGAAGATCTTTACTTCTTGCTCCCAGTCTGTTTTAATCGTGAGGATGAAAAGAGACACGACTTGTACAACCAGTGCACAGATTATTCCCAGCCAAAGTCCCTGTGTTGATTAAAACAAAGATGCAGTTGAGAGAGCATGAACAAGTAAACTTTACAAGTGGTACGTAACTAGTGTTGGCAGAGTGAAGGAGATGCTTACCTTCCCTCCAACGTGTAATACGAAAGCTAGCAGGACAGCAAACGGAATGCCAACGATATAATAAGATCCTAGATTGATAAATGCTCCAATTTTCTGTCGCCCACACCCTCTAACAATTCCTTGAAGTTTTATAACAATAGGGACCAATAGCTGTTAAGAAAACCGGTAGGAGATAAATTGAAAATGAGCTCCATGTAAGGTTGAGTATAATATTTACCAGAAAGAACAGATTGAATTCCATCTAGGAGGTTAGATATTGCAAGTATAGGCATCATTACAGCTACATATCTGACCACTTCTTCTTCATTGCTATAAGCATAGCCCCAAATGTTGCGGATCAAGATAAGTATCATTCCGATGAATATGCCCTCGCTAATGGCTAGGAATAGAACAACCGATACTGCTAGTTTCGCTGCTTGAGGTTTCCCAGCTCCTAACTCATTGGAAACTCGAGTACTACCCAAATAATACAGAAAACATATCAGGAGCTACAGATATATATTTTAGCTCACTTCAAGAGGCATATCAGGTAATAAGTCTATTACAAATGTTAGATCATCATAATAATAAAAATCAAACAGACCGACCTCACTGCACCGCTAAGACCAAAGGGGATCATCCACACAACTGCAGCTGTATTGAGACTGCATATAAAAGAGGGTCAGAAGTCGATATACAGAAGCAAATACTTTGTTAGGGTATAACTCCATCAGCATAATTTTTTTTGTATAAGCTCATATATTGAAAGTTAAACATATATCAGCTCAGAATTAATAGTGGTATAGAGCTACATACATAGTACTAGTTTAGGATGTCCAAAAAAAGTGAGCAATTTTGCTATCATTGCAAATTTGGAGTGTTTTATGATTATTTGCATAAATAAATGCTTCATGATTATAATTCCTAACTAATATGCTAACCAGCATTTATCTAATTATAGGGATGAAGGAGAGAATTTGCCAACTAATTTTGGATGGAATATTAAGGATGTTTCTTATGCAACGTGACTTATATATGATTATGTGATGCTCCAAAGTACGTACCTGATAGAGAGTGAGGATGCTTCTAATGTTGGGTTGGGAAGAAGACCAGCTAAGAGAACCATCAGTTCGAATGACCACATTTCTAAGCTGTAGAAAGAAAAAAGATCAAATATCAATACCATACATCATTACATGTAAGATAAGAAGTGAAATCTCAACTCAATCACAATTGATTTTGCAATGGAGCTGCTGGTTCCGGGAACTTACCATACCATACAAGCAGAAGGAATACTAAGTTTAACAAATGAAGGTAAATTATGAAGAGCTTCACTGGAAAAACCAGTCCACGTTTTTGAGCACGAGGAAGAAAACTTGACATAGAGTGCTAGCAATATTGCATTAATCCAATAGGACACACCAGTTGCAAGGGCAGCACCTCGGTTTCCAAGGCCAGATTTGAAAACCAGAATCCAGCAGATTGGCAAATGTAGTAGTGTGGCAATCCCTGTGCTTAGCATCATAGGGAAAACGATGTTCTGGGTTTGTAAAAATCTTAGTATTGAGTAAAGAATGCCATAAGCAAAGAGACCAGGGATCAGGAACAGAGCGTAGTGTCCGGCCTCAGTTGCTATCTGATGATCTTGACCAACTGCTATTAATAGTGATTTTGAATTTGCCCATATAAGAGCCAGGGGAATGCTTGCAACAACAAGGATGATCACGGCCCGTTGTAAGTGTATTCCTAACATATGATACTGTTTTGCCCCGTATGATTGTCCACAGAAGGTGTCTAAGGCACTTGACATTCCCATCTGTCAAACAGGGCAGATGATATTATTGTTTGCTTTAAAACACATTACATGAGCATATCTCAATCAAATTAGAAGGTGAATAGGTAAATGCATAGGTCAATCACCACACAACAAATCAAGTTAAGTTTAGTAAAAATAAGTTTTACAAAAACTAGATTGTTTTTTTTATAATAAAAATAAGAGAAATTTGTGAAAAAGAACTTTTAAATAGTCGACTTTTTGTAAAAGGACCTTTTAAAGTGAAAAGTTGTGAAAAACAACATTTTAAGTTGTATTATGTTTTTAGGGGGTTATTGGGTGAGTTTTCTTGGTGGTCATTGCCGGAACTCCGATCCGATGTTGACTTTCACGTGTTAGTCACGTGAACAAGAAAAAAATAAAAAAATTCCCCAAATACAACTTTTATTTGATGAACAATGTAGACCTCCTATTTACAAAATATTTTGTAAAAATCCGTTTTGGTCAGTAAACATAAGTAAATATCGATTTCATTAATTAAAAATGAGTTTTGCAAGTATTAATCAGTGACTAAATAGAACAAATACAACAATAAAATTTAAAGCATAAACAAGCATAGATTAGTGTAATTAACGCTTATATCAATGTTCCCTTATTAACTACTTATATGAAGCATTATAGTCTCAATATAATTTTGATTTTAATCTCTTAATTCGCACTATTACCGTCAACATAAATTAAATATTTGTCCAAGTCAAAGTATAATATTATATGTTTGTCTCTTGGAAAATATTTACCAGAAATTGCTTAGAACCATAACTGCAAATGTTACTCCGTATCTCACCATTTTTTTTTGTTGTTCACTATGACTTTTATGTTTACTAAGTCAATGACTTAAACTAGTACTGTCAAAAACCGAACCGAACCGGGGAAACCGAACCGATTCAAACCGATCCGAATGAGAACCGAACCGTTTAGAAACCGCTTTTTTTAAACCGAAAACCGACCCGAACCGCATTTTAGTGAACCCGAAACCGAACCGATTCGAGTAACGTTAAACCGTTTAAGAACCGAACCAAAATCTAAACCGAACTGAAAGGAAACCGAACCGAAAATGAACCGAACCGTTTCTAACCCGAAACCGTTTGAACTGCCATAAAAACCGTTATAAACCGAACCGTTTATAAACCGAACCGTTTATAAACCGAACTGATTATAAACCGAACTGTTTATAAACCGAACCGTTTATAAACCGAACTGATTATTAACCGAACCGTTTATAAACCGAACCGCTTATAAACCAAAATGTTTATGAACCGAATCGCTTATAAATCAAACCAAAACTAAACCAGCTAATCTGAACCAAATTAGTGTTGACTATTTCACACTAAAATTTCCAACCAATCATACTATTTAGTAGTGATACACTACCAGATTTATAAATTACTAAAATTAGTAGTAGTTGCTTTATCTAATTTACTTCAATAAGTCAAAACAATGGATTAAAATGACAAGATTCTCTTTCTATTGGAAACAAACCAACTTGCATTAAACTATAATTAGCACACAAAAATTCTTTAGTGTTTATACCTGATCATAACATTAGAATGATATTTTAAACTGAAATAGTGTAATGATTTATTGGGTTCCCTACCATACAAAAATTCTAATGCTTTTATAACCACAAGATTTGTCTCCCACTGTCCCTTAGATATTCATAATAGAGGGTGATTAGTATATGCCATCCTGGTCTATAGTTCAGGAATTATATGAACAACAAAAAACAAAAACAAAACAATTAAGTGAAAATTACCTGGAGCTGTGACGGCTTGAAGGAGAAGAAGAATTGAAGATGGAGAACTGGAGATCGAACAAAAAAAACGACAATAGAGAACTCGAGATCGAAAATAAACCGAAATAAAAAAAAAAAATTAACTGAAAAATTACCTTGAGCTGTGACGGCTTGAAGGAGAAGAAGAATTGAAGATGGAGAACTGGAAATCGAAAAAAAACTAATTACATTTGGAGAAATTGAGATCGAACAAAAAACCGAAATAAAAACAAAAAAAAATTAAGTGAAAATTACCTGGAGCTGTGACGGCTTGAAGGAGAAGAAGAATTGAAGATGGAGAACTGGAGATCGAACAAAAAAAACGACAATGGAGAACTCGAGATCGAAAAAAAAACCGAAATAAAAAAAAAATTAACTGAAAATTACCTTGAGCTGTGACGGCTTGAAGGAGAGGAAGAATTGAAGATGGAGAACTGGAGAACTTCAGAGTGAGTAAGGATTCAGCGCTTGAGGATGAAGAAGAAGAACCGAAGAATCAGTGTTTGATGTGGAGCAAAACGGCGAATTGAAGATGATGAATGAAGAGGAGATGACCTAACCAGGCTAATTCAATTCACGTTTCACCACTGTTTTTTTTTTTTTTTTTTTTTTTTTTTTCCTCTTTTGCAATATATTATTTAATTATTTAACAACCAAAATATCTAAATTCTAAATTTAAAATTTGTTTTTCCTTTTAGTTTTGGAGGGAAATTTCCCACCTTTCATATTTTGATGAAATTGTCAACCAAAAAAATGAAATCAATTTTCCACTTTGTAAAAATCAAAATTTTTAATTTTATTTTAATAACATTAAACGAAATTTTATACAATTAATTAATTACATGGCTTCAAAAAAAAACTAATTACATTTCTCGAATCCCGATAAAACGAAATATGCCTTCATAATATCAGCTTTTATAATTTTTTTTAACACACACATTAAAATATTAAGTTCTTTAAATTATAAAATGTGAATCGGTTAGCGTGTAAATGTCTAGCGTTGCGATTAATAAAAAATCGAACACTGTTTAATAATATAATGACGTCATATATCTTAGAGAGTAAGAAGTACTACGGATTAGTTATATGGTTATTTTATATCAGTTTAGTTGTACCTATAAGCAAATACACTTGTAATCGTGTAAACTTATAAATTGTATAATTGACTAGTAGATTAGTACATAAATACAAATTACTTATTTAGATATGAGTTATGACTACATGAGTGATTGACTAATATGACTATATCAGCAATTGTCAATTTAGCATAGTTGCATAACAGATTAGCAGTGTACTAGACTATCCTACTAGGTAATATACTAATACCATTTCAGTATTTGATCTATTAGACTCAAGTTAAACGCTACTCTTTCTTATTAACTTGTTAGTCTAATTAAGTAATTACTAATTACTAATTAGTAATTAGTGACATAAGCCTTAGGGGTAAACCAATAAAGGATATAGAAAAATATAATAATCTTATGATTCTCATCCCTTTATACTAATAATATTTAACTATGAGAATATGAGATGGTTATATGTTATTTATATGTTAATATGTATAATCGGTTGAAAGAGTCAATATTACCTTCTTCTTCATTAATGTGTTCTTTGATTATACAAATCAAACTACTTTGTAATATATAACTTTATGCAAATATATAATGATAAACAAGTCTTAATTATCAGTCTTGTTGACTAATTAAGTATCGAATACCAAATTGAAAATTTCGATGTCACAATTACTCATCAAATCATGATTATGACATTATTAATTAACTAAATGATCAAATAAGAAGCAGATAATAATCTGATAGTAAAACAATAATACATTAATGCACTAAACTTTTATAATCTACTTCCTAATAAACTAGTAAGATCAGTATGGCTAAACTAAATACATAACATGATATGTATTTATAAAATTAATGAGAATTTGCATATAATATGATGCCTCAATATGAAGTGATGAAGTCTCGACTTGATATAAAACTTGTTAACTAGCAAAAAGTTAGAAAGTAGTATAAAATTTCAAACCAAAACTGTTTGATTGCCCAAATCCAAACGACTCGATAAAAAACCGGTTTTTTGAATCAAAACCAGACTCGAACTGTAATTTAGTAAAGCTGAAATAAAACCTATCCAAGTAATGTTAAATCGTAGAAGAACCGAACCCGTTAACGAACCGAACCAGTTATAAACCGAACTAAAATGAAACTGAACCAAAAAAGAACCGAATCGTTTCTAAACCGAAACTGTTTGAACCGGGATAAAAACCGTTTACACCGAACCGTTAACAAACCGCAACCTGTCTGCACCGAACCGTTTACTACCCGGACTGTTTACAACCCGGACCGTTTACAACCCGAACCGAATTTAAACCGGGATAAAAACCGTTTACACCGAACCGTTATCAAACCGCAACCCGTCTGCACCGAACCGTTTACTACCCGGACCGTTTACAACCCGGACCGTTTACAACCCGAACCGAATTTAAACCGGGTTAAAAACCGTTTACACCGAACCGTTAACAAACCGCAACCCGTTTGCACCGAACCGTTTACTAACCGAACCGTTTAGAACCCGAACCGAATTTAAACCGTTCAAGAATAAACCGAAACCGAACCGAACCGATAATTATTTAAACCGAACCGAAACCGACCCGTAAGACATTTGAACCGATTTCAAACCGACCCGATTTCAAACCGAACCGATTTCAAACCGAACCAAAACCGAACTGTCAAACCGTTTTGACAGTGCTAACTTAAACAATTAATATATTAAGTTACGAAGTATAAAGAGTTAGAATTTATGGAAAGTAAAAATCTCTGTCATAGAAATTAATCTGACCACATATACTCACTGATTGGGAGCAATTATTTTAAGAATTAAAATCCAATAAATTAAATTCTAATTAGATGGTGAAAACACGGTTGTTATCTCAACCACACACATAAAATTTGTCCCCTAGACAATTATGCTGCCATAAATAATTATTAAGCACAAACAAAAGAAAATTTTGACTTGTCTAAGCCTCTTAAGGTAGCTAGACTGGGAGAGGTCTAAGAAGTGATAATGTATTTTTCATTCTTGTCCTCAATTAATGTTTCCTTGAGATATTGAGATTATTTGCCGATACAGATCATTAGTATGAACTCTATTTTATTTTTGTTAATTGAAATTGTAAAATGCTAGTATTATGAAAATGTAAGTTATAACTAATCCATCAACGAACTTATTATATAAAATTACTTGTTTTCTATACATTAAGAATAAAAATTGGAGTTAAAGTAATTTAATATATATCATTGGATATGTGTCAATCAATGTGTAGTTATATAATATCAAGTATCAACATAAAGATATCCATAGCTAAAAGACGAAAATGAAATTGATAGTCAATATGGAACATACCAACAAGCTAAAACCGGTGACAGTAGCAAAGGAAGTAGCCATTGAGGAACCAGCAAGTGATAACTCACCAAGATGACCAACAAACATAATAGAAATCAACTGCAAACTGAATAGCATCAAATTTACTGAAATTAATGGTCCTGCCAACCATACTTGTTTCTTCACTTCTTCAATTGCTGCCTTTTTCCAATTTTGACTTTCAATATCACTACCTTCTTTATCTCCATTTATAAGTGGTGTTTTCTTTTGATTTTCCTCCATTTTTTTTTTCTTTTTTTTTTTTATTTTTTTTATTTTATTATTTTATTTTATAAAAATTTAGATATGGAAAGATTGAGGTTTGAGGGGGTGAAACCGTGAAATGCATTTATGAGAGCACTTTTATAGGGATAGGCGGGTAGCAGTACTAGCATATTATGTTAAAAAAAATGAAAAAATAAATATGGAAATAAACGTGTTTCAGGGAAAGACTTGTAAGTTGTAACCAATCATGCAAGCTAATTGTCAAATTAGCTTGCTATGCCACGTAAGCTTTTAAGCTGACTGTTATTTTAGTTCCAATGATTAGCTAATAGTTTACTATTTAAATGGAACACACCTCCTTAATTTACATTGATAAATTTTATTTTATTTATTCTAATTTATTTTATTTTAGCAAGTTTTTTTCTAAGCAAATTAGCTTGACTTAACCAAGCTAATTGCATTTTTCAAGCTCCAATGGTTAAGTTAGTAGCTAGAGACTATTTAATATTGCAAGCAAGTCCCTAACTGCAACCATTGGAATTGCTCTTAAGATTCGTTTGGTGTTGTGGTTTTTTGGCTGTTAGAACAATTCTAATGGTTGTAGTTAGGGACTTGCTTGCAATATTTAATAATCCCTAACTATTAGTTTGACCATTGGAGCAGTGGCGGAGCCAGGAAATTTAGGGGGGGACAATGGAAGACATCGCATGATGTGACAAAAATGTTATGGAAAAAAATTGACACCAAAATAATTAAATAGCAGAAATTCAGGTTGTTAAATACTTGACATATAAATAGTTATTAAGTAGTCGGAAAAAATGATGATTTCCTTCGGATTTCATTCTTTCTAGTAGGAATTTTCAAAAATAAGTTGTTTTCATGTTGTCTTATATTAGTTTCAATTAAGGGGCCGTTTGGTTCGCAGAGGGGAATCGGAATGGAATGAAGAAAGGGAATGAAGGAGAAAGGAATGTATTCCCCTGATTTTTCCTAGTTGTTTGGTTGTGTCCAGGAAACGGAATGAGCTGCTCATTGATTCCCTTTGTGACTGTTTGGTTCAAGCGAGGGAATCAAATTTTGAGTTTTTAAATTCTTTAAAATTTTTGCTCAAAAATAAAACTTGTTTCTTCATGAAACTTGAACCTTTTTTTTTTTTTTTTTTTAAAAAAAAAAAAAAAAAAACCATCAACCTGTATCGTCGTCTTTTCCTGTAAAAAAAATTAAAAAAAAAACATATAAAATATCTCCAAATAACATCTTTCTAGTTCCATAAATTACAAATCCAAATAATCACCTCTTGGTGAAAATAATACCAATGCAAAGTACTTGTTCCTAGATAAAAAGTTCATACCAAAAGCGTTCTAATAGGATTAACATACCCAAGTCTTTGCTAATAGTGCTATCTAGATAAAGTTCATGCCTGTCCATTCCCTTTCCCTTTGTTGATACCCCCCAACCAAACGGCCCCTAAGTGAATCCTTATCATTCAAACAATTAGAAATTACTCCATATTATTATTATAGAAAATATACTATGAATTTTATATAGTAGTTAACTAACTAATGATTGCCAAAAAAAAAAAAAAATACAAATTAGAAAAAAATAATTAAAAAATTTTTTTTTTTTTTTTGAAAAACCTAAATTTTTTATTTTTTTTTTCAAGAAGGGGGACACCTGTCCCCTCTTGTATCCCCCTCTCTCCGCCATTGTATTGGAGTTAGAAAGTGCAATCAGCTTGGCTAAAGCTAATTTACTTGGAGAAAAACTTATCAAACAAAAAATTAAAATACAATCAATAAAATGAAATATAAAAAGTTAATTAAGGAGGTGAAATTCATTTAAATTGTAAGCTAATAGCTAGCCATTGGAGTTCATAATAACTACAATGATAATTACACTACAAAAAAACAAGTGAATTGCGACCGCCAGCACCGGTCGCAAATTATGAGGAAAACGGTCGCTATTTAAAACTGCGAACGTCACCGGTCGCAAAGGCACGATCGTAATTTAACTGGTCGCAAAAAAAAAAATTGCAGCCACTTGGCGGTCGCAGATCAAATTGCGACCGTATTTCGTATTTTCAACGATCATTTTTTTAACAGACGTAATTTGTTATTTGCGACAGGCAAGGCGGTCGCCATTGCTGAAAATTACGACCGCCTATGACGGTCGCAAAACACTAGGATCTGCGACATGCCATGACGGTCGCAATTATTAGTAAATTACGACTGCCTATGCCGATCGCAAATTCCTGTGATCTGCGACGGGCGCTGACGGTCGCAAAAACATGGTATCTGCGACAGGTCCTGACGGTCGCAATTTTAGTAAATTATGACCGCTTAAGACGGTCGCAAATTCCTGTGATCTGCGACAGGCCCCGACGGTCGCAATTTTCAGTAGATTGCAATTTGCATTATCAAATAATTATTATTATAATGCAATTTTCAAATAATTACAATTTGCATTATCGATGCCATCCTAACCTGAACCTATGACCTGTTATCATGTGAATTAATTTCAAAATTAATATAAAATAAAAATAAAATGCATAATTCATATAGATAATAATATTAATAATTAAAAAGTCCAACTTCGAATAATACATACAATAACAATGTTCAAGTTAATAGTAATAGTAATTAGTTAGTAATAGTTTTATAAGCTTAACTTTAAAACTAAGTTAGGTCTATATGAATAAGTAATGGCCTATGTTCCTTCAAAAAATAGATAAGGCCAACATGTGACAATATAATACCAATTTCAGGCCTATATTCCCCCAAAAAATAACGAAATGGCCTATATCCCCCCCCCCCAAAAAAAAAAAACCTAAAAGGCATATATTCCCAAAAAAAAACCTAAGGCCTATATTCCTCCAAAAAAAACACTAAGGCCTATATAAACAATACTAATGTAAGAGCTTTATGAACAAAAACTACGACACCGGAGTCTGGTGACCAAGCCCACCACCACTCATGTCCGGGTCATCTTCCCTACGAAACTGAAATGGAGGACCACCTGAACAGTTAGAGAACAAGTTCTGCAACATTGTCTCCATCATTCTCTTACTCTCAATTGCTGCCTCCTCTCGCTCCTTCTTCAATGCCTCCTGCAATTGCGTTGCAAACTGTGCCTCCATCTGTGCCTGCATTTGCACTTTTGCCTCCTCTATTCGCTCGGCAACCTCGGCTTGCACACGTTCCTCCAACTGTGAAGCTATAGAAGGATTGTACGATTGCGAGCCTTTCTCGGAAGAGGGGCTGTAAAACAAACTAGCACTTGCACATAGGCCCTTCACTACACCCTTTTTCCTACCACCAACGACCTCCCAGTATAGCTGGTTAGGGTCCGGTTGTGACCCTTCTTAAGTGGAAGACTCGTCAAGCTTCTTTTGGTAGGCTTCCGGAAATCAAACAAAACAAATTATGCATATTAAACATGTTTATAGGTTCAAATTGCGAAAACATACACATTTTCAATTATGTACAAGGCTATAGGTTTACAGCTTGGCTAAAATGGCTTAAATGGCCTTCTAAATTACCCATTTTCTTTGTTTTTGCTATATTCTAAGATTTTAGCAATCAAACAACTCATATTTAGCATATTAAACATGTTTATATGTTCAAATTGCAAAAACTTACACATTTTCATGCATATTCATGGCTAGAGGTTCATGGCTCGGCTAAAATGGCTTAAATGACCTTCTAACTTACCCATTTTCTTTGTTTTTGCTATATTCTAAGATTTTAGCAATCAAACAATTCATATTTAGCATACAAAACATGTTTATAGGCATAAATTGCTAAAGCGTACACATTTTCAAGCATACACAAGGCTATAGGTTCATGACTAGGCTAAAATGACCTTCTAACTAACCCGTTTTCTTTGTTTTTGCTATAGTCAAAGATTTTATCAATCAAACAACTCATATTTAGCATATTAAACATGTTTATAGGTTCAAATTGCAAAAACTTACACATTTTCATGCATATTCATGGCTAGAGGTTCATGGCTAGGCTAAAATGGCATAAATGGCATTCTAACTTAGCCATTTTCTTTGTTTTTGCTATATTATAAGATTTTAGCAATCAAACAATTCATATTTAGCATACAAAACATGTTTATAGGCATAAATTGTTAAAGCATACACATTTTCAAGCATACACAAGGCTATAGGTTCATGACTAGGCTAAAATGGCTTAAATGACCTTCTAACTTACCCATTTTCTTTGTTTTTGCTATATTCTAAGATTTTAACAATCAAACAACTCATATTTATCATATTAAACATGTTTATAGGTTCAAATTGCAAAAACTTACACATTTTCATGCATATTCAAGACTATAGGTTCATGGCTAGGCTAAAATGGCTTAAATGACCTTCGAACTTACCCATTTTCTTTGTTTTTGCTATATTCTAAGATTTTATAAATCAAACAACTCATATTTAGCATATTAAACATGTTTATAGGTTCAAATTGCAAAAACGTACACATTTTCATGCATATTCATGGCTAGAGGTTCATGACTAGGCTAAAATGGCTTAAATGGCATTCTAACTTAGCCATATTCTTTGTTTTTGCTATATTTTAAGATTTTATCAATCAAAAAACTCAAATTTAGCATAAAAACATGTTTATAGGTTCAAATTGGTTAATCATAGACATTTTCAAGCATTTACAAGGCTATAGGTTCCTCAAATTTCAAATCACAAGTATAAGTGCCTATGTTTTGCTTGCTTCCTTAAAAAATAATTTCATTAGTTTCCAAAGTTAGATGTATTACCGAGATTTGTTGTGCCCTCTTGTTAGCCGCAACTTTTCCTTTTCCTGGAACTTCCTTGAAATGTGTCTTTAGGAACACCTCAGGAGCAGTTGGAAGCACTCCACCGGCTTTCTGAGCCTGCATAAATCAAATAACTCCATAAATTCTTAGTGTATGTAACTACTAAAATTTATCAGTATCATTATATACCATTAAGTATTACCATTTTCTTTGCATGCTTTGATGCAGAGATAGAACCTTGGAAGTGTGACGACTCAATTAGATTAGACAGGGAGCCACCCCTCCTGTTCTTCTTCGCTTTTTCTGACCTCTCCAGAAATACCGGATCCTTTCTTTTCGCCATAATTCTCTCAAACATAGACTCTCCCATCCATCATTATATACCATTAAGTAAGAAAACGTGTTGATGTCAAATGCGTATCATACTCACTTTCAACCTAAACCACTCGAGGAATTCAGCTTCATGTTTAATCCACACATCTTCTTTGTGAATAG